TAAAAATAACCCATTTCTATTAATCTGTGTATCACCACAAGGCTGTGGCCTACCGGAAAGGTTCTGGGTGTCATTCTTCATCGGCAGGCACATGGTGTCTCCTTGACTCTGCGTCCTCTGTCCATGTCCTGCCTGGCTTTACTCTGCTAAGCCATTGGCTACAAAAGCTTTATTTATTACCCAATAAAAGCAACACTTATTGAGGACATCCCACATCAATACATGAAGCTCAGATTTCAATGTTCCGAGTTTTTGTTGGAAGTCAGATTTGTTCCCTTGTGGTGACCCATGCCTGCTCTTCTGCGTCTGCTGCGGTGTTGCGCTCTTAGTAGACTTTACAGCCTTAAGAATGTACTATATGTCTTTTTATGGGAAGGTTTTGCTGACATCTAGAGACACATTTAAAGATATTCAGGACTGATAGATCCCAAATTTTATCTAATACTGTCTTCTCTTAAAAGGAAAACCTCACAACTTTATATAGCTAAAATTGACATGCAAAAAGTTACACATGTTTCAAGTATGAGTGTTGATAACTCTTTTTTTTTAAAATTGTCTATTGAGCCCAAGTGTGTTTGTATTGTTTAATTACAGTGAATGCACTTGGGGTTATGGGTGAGCTCCTGGGCCACTGGTGATGGCATAGAGAGAGGAAGCGGATCCATCCAGGCTATATGGACTCTTCCCCCAGTGAAATCAGGATTCTTTATAGGAGGCTAACTGGCCTAGTAGATGTGACATGATTTTCTGCAAACCAGGAAGAGATCAGCAGGAAAGATGGACAGTGAATTACTTTTCTCATGGCTCTGACGAAAGCAGCTTAAGGAGGGAAGGGCGCCTTCTGGCTTACAGGTTGAGGGTGCAATCCACCGCTCACGGTGGCGGCAGGAGTGTGCAGCAAATGGCACCCACAGTTAGGAAGCTGAGGGAGGAGTGCTGCTTTGCCAGTCTTTCTCCTTTTCATCCAGTTCAAGACTCCAGCCTGTGGAATGGTGCCATACACGATCAGGGCAGGCCTTCCTTCTGCAGCTAAAACCTTCCTGGAAGAGTTCTCCTAGGATACGGCCAGAAGTGGGTTCCACGGGCCAGGCTGACCATGAAGATTAACCATGAGAGGTAGATTGTCAAACAGCTGTTACACTATTTAGAAAAGTCGAGATGAGTCTTCTCAGTCTGTTTCATCGTTGACAGTTCTTGAGGCATTTCATAGTGTCTAAGAACAGGGAAGATCTTAACCTGCATCTGTGTCGGGTGGGAGAATCATGGCGACTGCCTCCTCCTTTTCTTTTTTAACCAGGGAAGTACTAAAAAAGCGTTGTCACAGTCAGGAGTGAGGGGACCAGCCAGGTGGTGGTGCAAACCTCTCATCCTAGCACTTAGGGCCGGAAGCAGAAGGACTGGGAGTTCGAGGCCAGTCTTAACTACACAGTGAATTCAAGGCTAGCCTGGGCCACTTGAGACTGTCTCAAAACAAAACACAGTAAAAGGATCCATTTTCTTCTCAAATTTTTATCTTCCTCTTGGAAGTTCGCTTTCTCCCATTCTTCATTGTCCTCAACAACCATGGAAAGATCTGTCACTGGAGATTAGTTTATACTTTCTAGAGTTTCAGAAGAATAATTTACAGTGTACCTATTTTGTATGTGTGCTGGCCTGGAACTCACAGAAATCTGTCTGCTTCTGCCTATCTAATGCTGGGATTAAAAATGGGCACCCTCATGCCCAGCATGTGTGTGCCTGTTTGTGTGTGGCCTGTAGAAGCCATAGACTGGTGTTGGTATTTTCCTCTATTGCTGTCTATCGTAAGTTTTGAGACGCGGTCTCCTACTTACTGACTTGGAGTTGTCTTAGTCACTGTTCTACTGCTGTGAAGAGGCACCATGACCATGACAACTCTTTTTTTCCTTTTATTTAATTAACATTTTTTCATTTATTTTACATCCTAACCGGAGTTTTGCCTCTCTCTTCTCCTCCTGTTCCCTGCCCACTCCCACCTGCTCCTCATCCACTCCTCTTCCCTCTTCATTCAGAAAGTGGCAGGCCTCCTAAGGGCTTGAACAAAGCGTGGCACAGAGTTGAGGCAGGACCAAGCTCCCCCTCTATATAAGTCTGGACAAGGTAATTAGAATGGGAAACAGGTTACCAAAGCCAGCTAAGCCTCAGCTAAGCTGATCTCACTTCTAGGAGCCTTACAAAGAGACCAAGCTACACAACTCCCACACACATGAAGAGGGCCCAGGTGGGTCCCATGCAGGCTCCCTAACTATTGGTTCAGAGTCCACGAACTCCCATGAGCTCAGGTCATCTGTCTCTGTGCCCCCCACTCCCTGGCATGACCTTGCCCTGCCTGGCTCATACAATCCCTCCTCCCTTTTCTTCAGAACTCCCAGAGCTGGGCTTGGCTGTGGATCTCTGCATCTGCTTTCATTACGGGATAAAGGCCCTCCGATGACAATTAGGGTAGTCACCCATCTGATTACAGTAGATGGCCAGTTCAGGCACCCTCTCCACTAGGAGTCTTAGCTGGGGTCATCCTTGTGGATCCCTGGGGTTTCCTTGGTATCAGATTTCTCCCTAACTTCTAAATGGGTTCCCCATCAAGAAGTCTCTTTCCTGACTCTCCCCTCCAACCTGCCTGCAACCTGCCTCCTGCATCCTACCCACTCCCTCAAGTTCCCCTCCCCTCCACCCCCCACCCCTGGCTTCCTGTTTTCTCAGGAGAGCTCTTCTTTTTCCCCTTCCCAGGGAAATCCTTGCATACCTTTTTGGGCCCTCCTAGTTATCTAGCCTCTCTGGGCTGTGGATTGTAGGTTTGTTATCCTGTATTTTATTCCTATATCCAGTTATGAGTGAACACATACCATGTTTGTCTTTCTGGGTCTGGGCTACCTCACTCAGAATGCCTTTTTCTAGTTTCATCCATTTGCCTGCAAATTTCAGGAGGTCATTTTTTTTTTTGTTTGATTTTTTTTTTCAGCTGAGTAATACTCCATTGTGTAAATGTACCACATTTTCCTTATCCATTCGTCGGATGAGGGACATCTAGGTTGTTTCCAGGTTCTGACTATTTCGAATAATGCTGCTGTGAACATAGTTGAGCAAGTGTCCCTGGATGACAGCAACCCTTATAAAAGAAAGTGTTTAACTGGGCTTGGATATAGTGTTAGAGGGTTAGTCCATGATCATCATGGCAGGAAGGAGGCAGACATGGTTTTGGAGCAGTAACTGTGAACATTATATGCTGATCCCCAGACAGCATGCGGAAGAGGGGGGAGGCAGAGACAGCCATCCCCCAACGGCACACCTGCTCTAATTCAAACACCTGAGCTCCATTCAAACCAGCACAGAGCTCATGATTTTGACCAGGCTGGCGGGATAGCAAACCCCAGGATTCTGCTTGTCTCTGCCTGCCCAGTGCTGAGATCACTTGCCAGTTCCACTGTGGCCTTCCGTGTGGATTTTGTGTATGCTTGCAAGGCAAGCACTTTACTGACTGAGCTGTCTTCCCAGCCCTGTGTAGTCCTTTTAAGTCTGGCTAATCCTACTCACAAAATTACTTAACAGTTTATCTATATTATTTGTGTATAAGTAGTTCATTTTCTTTCTTTTTCCAAGAGTGATAATCCGTTGTATGTTTGTAGACTTGTTTATTAATTTGCCTCTGAATAACATGTTTCCTGTTTTTGATCATTAAAAATGTTTGTGCATTTTTAAAGTATTTATTTTATTTTGATTTATGTCTATGTGCATAGAATTACAGGTGGATTGTGAGCCACCTGTTATAGTCAGTGAGAACCAAATTCCAGGTCCTCTGGAAGAACACTATATTTTCTTAACTATAGAAACATCTCTCCACCCAAACTTTTGTTCAGATGTCTTTGCATGGCTATATGCTTTCTGACTTTTGGGTAAATACTTAGGGGTGAACTGGCTCAATTAGAAGAAAGTTGTAGGGGGCTGGAGGGGTGGCTTTTTAGTTGAGTTAACACTTCTCTTCCAGAGGATCCTGGTTCAGTTTCCAGCATCCACATGAAGGTTCACAACTGTCTGTAATTTTACTTCTAGGGATCTAATGATGTCTTTTGCTTCTACTGGCACCAGGCATGCATGGGATGTAGACATACATGCAGGCAAACACTTATACACATAAAATAATAAGTACATATATTTTTTAAAAAAGGTGAAGAGAGGTGTGTGTTTAACTTAAGACATCATCAGAGGTTTTTTAAGTGGTTGACCATTTAACATCCCTGCCATGTAGTTGAGTACCTGTTTTCTCACAGGGGCTAACATCTGCCAATATGTAACAGGGTTTGCATTACCTATTTGTACAAAGTATGAGGAAGAGTTTGTGGCAAATCAGATTAATTTAGGTTGTGTAGTCTGCAAAACAGTGGATACAGTTCTGACAATCAACTTTGAGGCTTAAATGACTTTATTTATTGAGAAATATGATTGAAGACATGAAATTCTCCAGGATCCCCTCATTCGTGTGGTCCAGGTCTTTGCTTTTTATACATTAGAGAACACACGTTACTGTAATTTTAACAATTAATTGTGTGACTTGATCTAGCTACCTCCTTTCTGGATCAAGATATTCTGAGATACTGTAAGTTTCAAATACCGTTATAGATCAGAATGGAGCTTGTCTGCACAGATTCTGGGTACCACCCCTAGGACTAGAAATGAAAGGTTTGGACTGAAAACCAGGAACCTGCTGAATTTCCTTTAGGAGACACTGCAGTGCTTCAGAGTTCCCTAACTCCCCTAGTCTAGATAGAATTTGAGTTCATGATAAAACCTATGGAAATGAATTAATTCTTTAATGTTCAGTAAAAGTCTCTCTTCTCCCCTTCTAGAATAATGATCTTAAAAAAATGCTGAGCTCGTTTGAGTGGATAGTATGGGCACAAACACTCATGGGTTGGGATGTTTGTCTCTGCTAACCAGGGAAATTCATAAACACATTGCTTTTCTCTTTTTTAAAAAATGCTATCCAGAACTATTTTGGTGGAAAGCTCTCTGCTCAAGGGAAAATGCCTTGGATTGAATATAACAATGAAAAAGTATCTGGCACAGAATTCATAATCGACTTTCTGGAAGAGAAACTTGGTGTGAACTTAAACAAAAACCTTGGCCCTCATGAAAGAGCCGTCTCAAGAGCCGTCACCAAGATGGTGGAAGAGCACTTCTATTGGTGAGTCCTTGCTGTGTGTCCCTGCACTCCCCCAGCTAGCCCAAAACCTCTTGGGTTTTCTGACACTCACTTTCTCATTTTTTTGGCTACATTTTACGTACCTTTCTCAAAGTTTTTTTTTTTTTTTTTTTTTTTTATCAGAAACAACTTTGACTTAGGGTCAGAGTTCTCTCTGTTGTCTCCAAGTACACCAGGACTCCACAGGTATTCTCTAGAGCCCATCTTCCACAGTTACAACCACTCAGCTCTGCCAAAAAGCCTGGAAGTTTATAAGCAGACTGCATTTCAGTAAATCTATCATGTACATTAAAACATTGGGTTTCATTTATATTAACACAATCTTCCTTTGATATTTTCCCAACCACATACTTACGCAAAACCTTCACAGCCTGCTGGATTTTAGGTGAGGTGGATATTTTAATTTGTGGGGCTCATTAGTACAACCTTCTAAATAACGACAGTGCATCAGATGCCTTTAATCCTAGCACTCAGGAGGCAGAGGCAGGTGGATCTCTGTGAGTTTGAGACCAGCTTCGTCTATAGAGTGAGTCCCAGAACAGCCAGGGCTACACAGAGAAACTCTGTCTAAAAAGAAAAGAAAAGAAGAAAAGAGGAAAGAAAAGAAAAGTAAAGAAAGGAAGAAAGAAAGAAAGAAAGAAAGAAAGAGCATCAGACACCAGAGGAAGGCATAGAAGGCTAAGTAGAGATTGGACCCCTCAGTGAAATTATCACATTTCTGAGATAATGTCACCCTTCCTTAGATAGCCTTCTTCCCTGATTGCTGCATTTCGTAGTTCATACTCCCCAAGTTTGAAGCATCACATAAATTTGAAGCATCATATAGTTGTGTTGACCATTTGCTCTGTTTTGCTTTGGTGGCCCCGAGCTACTTCAGCGCCATGTGAATCAATCCCATTTGGCTAGTCTTGCTTTGCAAACCTATTTGTCTTGTGGTCTGTTCTCCCTTACATCTAGTTTCTGGCACTTCACCCCTTCTCTATACTCCTAGAGATGACAGGAGATCTCTTCCAAATATTTGCAGACTTTTACTTTGACCTCAATACTTAATTAAACATCATTAATTCTACTTTATTAGCATTGCTATTTCTTGGCCAGATGTTGGCCTAGGAGCTTTTACTAACCACTTCCTCCCATCGTGGCCATCTCCTGCTGGGACTGGCTGTGCGATTCATCCTCGCTGGTGCACTATTTCATCCATTTGTCCTCTTTATAAGTAGAAAACTGGAAGTTCCTATCTCCGAGATTTTAAGTGAACCTCTATTTTTCTCTTCCTATGTTTGCTTTTCTTAAAACTCTGTTTATCCCAGGGCTGATGTATTCCACATCCTCTCCCCACCCTACTGTGAGGATGAAGGACGGCTGACCAGGGAGGTGTCTTGTGGGAGAGTGTAGACACAGCAGTGTGGAAGAGAGCAGATTGAGCGTTGGCAGGAGCCTGGGTCCTTTCATGTAAGGCTGGTGGAGATGCCAGGTCTGCTTTGTCACAGTGGGCATTAAGGTGCATGACTGTCCGGCTCGCTTGGCTTCTGGAAAAGGCTTTTGGAAAGGATCCCATGCCGTTTGTTTGCCAGGTTTCAGACCTGGCTCTGCAGTGGCAGAGAGAAATGAGGAGTCTGACCTTTTGACAGTGTTCTATTATTTTTATTACTACTTTATTCTCTGGTAGGAGCTCACAGATGGCATGTTTCTGTTCTTCTCTTCACTAGCCCTCCGCTAATATGGGAGGTAGAGGGAGCTGTGGATGTGATCCAGAGTGGGGCAGGAGGAAGATCATTAACTTCCAAGAGCTTACTACGCTTGGGTGGCACATAGCTTCCTTAAAGGCCAGCATTGCTTCTCGAATTCACTTTCTATTAGAAAAATTTGGGGGCATTTTGAGATATAATATATATTCGTGTCTAGTAGCAAAAGGAAAACAAATCTTTGTCCTGTTTCATTTCCTCCCCCCATTCCTTCCTGTAGAGACTCCCCCACATCCACTAGGGAGCTTTGTATCCCCTCTCTCACAGGAATGTCTAAACCACGAATCCCTGGACTGGCCCTTTTCCTGTCTTGTTCTACCCATCTCAGAGAGCAGAGTGGAACCTGTACAGGAGCTGCCCTCAGTGTATGGGATTTTCTGTGAGATCCTCTTACACGTTAACAAGCGTTGAGCTCCTGTTCTTACAGAGGTGGGAGGGCAGAGTCAGTAAAACCCTTGGTGCTTGGCTCAGCTACTTGGTCATCTGAGGTTTGTTTTTTAGGTATATTTTATTTTGGCTCAAAACTTTAAAAATGTTTGGATACAATTTTCTGCAAGGCAGAGGTGGCGGAAAGCTGGCATTGTTACATAACGTGACATAATTTCGAAGCTCTGCTTTTGGTCTGTTCAGATAAGCACAGTCAGCTCTAAAGTTGTTTCTCTTGCACTTGAAATCTATATAATTATATCCCACTTGCATTATAAAAGCTATTATTGAAGACGGAGAAGGCTTTTTTTCTTTCTTTCTTATCTCCTTGTTTTATGAGTGCTTAAGTTAGATCCAATGCTTGGAAACTGGTATAAGAGGTTTTCTGAGACAGAGAATCAAATTACCAGAATGAAATTGATTTTTGTAATACCCTTGCTTCCTCGGTGATACATACTGCCCCCTTGTGGCCATCAGAGACGACCTTGAGAGGCTTCTAACCCTATATAATAACTACAGCCCTCAACATTTTCAGTGATACAAATCTGCTTCTAGGTTCCCATAATTTGTGAATTTTAAGTTCCAGTGTGTTTTGGCACTGATATTGAAGCCAGGGCCGTGTGCATGGTAGGCAAGAACTCCAGTGTTGAAGGCCATCTCCAGCCTGAACTTGGCTTTTGGTGTGATTTTAGTATCCGAGGGAGATGGGGAACCTGCGTAAGATGGTTTACAGGGAGCCTGAACACGATGGCAGATTATGATGGCACAGATTCATTCCACTTTTTTCTTACCCAATTTTAACAGTAGGGAGTGCTCCTGTTTGGATGGTTTGTGAGATTTGAGGACAGTGGAAAAAATATATCATTAAGTGTCTACCCCTGTATAATAGAATATAAATAAAAGGCAGCAAGGGTATAGCCCCATGGAAAGAGAGGCTTATTTTATTTATTTGTTTATTTATTTTTGAGATAGGGTCTTACTGTATTATCTTGGCTAGCTGGGAACTCATAGAGATCCACCCACCCCTGCCTTCTGAGTGCTGGCATTAGTCCACCATGCCTGGCAGTGAAAGGTGTTCTTATGGCTTGGAAGACCATGCTCTCAGACTCAGTAGTTTGTAACTTTCTGTATAGTAGTATTCATTTATGCCTTGGGCCTGACTTCATGGCAGGTTATGATGGGTGGGGATATAGCTCAGAGGTTGAGCACCAGCTTAGCAGGCACAAGGTATTGGGTTTGATTCTGTACTAAAAATCAAATCAAAACCAAACCAAACCAATCAGGGATCAATGGTTTTGCCCCGTTCTTTTCCTCCTTTTCTCCACCTTGACGTTTTGGTCTCCTTGACACAGTCGTGTTATGTAGTCTAGTGAGTTATGTAAACTCACAATCCCTCTGCCTCAGCTTCCCAGGTGCTGGGCATGGGCATGGGTGATGATGCTTGGCCTTTTGCCTGTTTTCTTGGTTTCCTTTAGAAACGTTTGAGCAAGTATCTTTAAATCTTTGACCCTATTCTTGTCGGCAAGATTAGACCCATTAGTTGTGCTGAGGAAAATGAGGATCTTAACTTTCTGAAATAGATTTTCCCATGATAAATTTCTCTAATTGCTTACGCTACTCTGCTTTCCCAATTGACCCTGCCTGCTGACTCCGGTTAATAATTCAGGACTCCTGGTGCACTGGGCTTCTTCCCAGTGAAGATAAAGGTGTAGACACCGGTGCCAGCCACTTCATCTTCCTCATGGATCCTTCTCTCTCTTTTTCCTAAGTACATGTCCTCCCTCAGAAACATCATATAGCCAGCATTGGTTCAGTTAAAGTTGGTTTTTGTTCAATCAACAATTCATGCTTCAGCAAATGAAGTGAATGGCCACTATAGCGTACAGATACCATGCTCCTACCCCCCAAGTGGCTCTCAGGCTGGCAGGAGCCTTTATGGAGAAAGCTGTTCTTAAGCCTCCAGAATTGTCACTGTTGGGGGAGGGAGAGCTTGAGGAGCAGAGGGAGGGCAGTAAGCACCCGTTGGTGAGATGAAAGCAAGGCTCCCAGAGGAAGCGGCAGTGTGATAGCACCAAGGACAACTGGAGCAGCAGGTGAAGGAGCTGATGGTAAGGGCGGTTAGGATGTTCGGGTAGAGGCCGCAGTGTCTGTAAATACTTGGAGCCAAGAAACCAGGGTTTGGGGAGTGTCTCAGTCCATCTAGACTCCTGTCACTGAAGAGCAGTCTGGGAAGTTCAGAAGTTTATATCTCAAGAGTCACGGACACCAGTTAGCCTGAGGCCAAGGTTTTGGCAGACTCAGTGTTTAGTGAGGGCCTGCTTTCTGGTCCTCACATAACCATCTTCTTGTTGTAAGATCACTTGACAGAAAGGATATAGAAACTCTATGGGGTCCTTTTTATAAAGGCAGTAATATCACTCTTGAGGACACTGTCCTCATGACTTTAGTACCCCAAAGGCCCTGCTTCCTAATACCACTAGACTTGTTTCAATATAAGATATCTGGGGACATGAACATTCAGTCTGTAGTAGGGAGGGGAGGTTCATGTTTTTCTGTACAGCTGATCTGAAGGGTTTATGGGAGGCCATATTGAGAGATGGAGTCTGGGAAGGGCCAGACCTTGGTGAGGGTCCAGGGGTTTCTGACATTGCAAAATTATGTAATCTACCAACGTGTTGGCCTGTGAGCGTACGTTAGGCACACCTGGGTGGGAGCCATGGAGAAAATCTCCTGGAATTCCTGACGAGTAACTCCTGGGATTCTTCGAGGGTGAGGTGAAGCAAGCAAAAAAATGAGTCCAATTTTGGAAGTGCAGTTTGCATTTCCTGAGGGTCTCCTGTGTGGGACTCCTGGGGTCAGGACAGAGCGGTCTGGGTTAGGTATAGATTTAGGCATCCCTTTGAGTTGCTGGTATGAGTTAGATTACCTCATGACTGTAGATTAAGTAGGTAGGAGAACAGAAGAAGAGTAAATAGATAAGTCTTTGGACCATGGGAAAAATGGGAGGAAAACAGCCATATGAGCCAAAGGTAAGTTCCCAGAGAGGCTAATCGTGCCGATGTGGTAGGCTTGTAAAAGCTACGTTCAGAGAAGAGGTGCTGGAGGGCATACAGCAAGTTGCTGGCTGCTGGATTGGAAGAGAGTTGTTTGGGTGGAGGGATGGGGTGGGATCTCTCATTATTTCTGGAACCCTGGCTGAGACATGTGTCCTTAACTGTAATGCCATGGAAACACAAAATATGAAGTCGTCTGCTTGTCATAGCTGAGATAAGAGCATGCGATTCACACATTATTTCTTCTTTTGATACTTTTGACACTTGGTTGGAGTTGATCCCTAACAAGCCTGTGGGGTCCTTCTTTGACCCTGGTCTGGAATGGGGCAGTAGAGAAGCAGAGAAATCAAATACAAAGCAGGTGCGGGGGAGATAGTCATTTACTGCAGTACCTGCACGGCCTTGCAGGAGTGAAGACCCGAGTTTTATTTACATAACCCATGTTTTAAAAATGATGAGTTTGGGGACCGGAGAGATGGTTTAGTGGTTAAGAATACTTGTAGTTCTTCCAGTGGAGTTGAGTTCTGTTCCTAGTGTCCACAGAAGGCAGCTAGCAGTCACCTGTAACTCCAGCTACCAGCTATCTTCTGGTTTCTTAGGGCCCATGCACACATAAAGTGTACTGCCCGCACTGCTCCCCCACAGAAAACCAGCTGTGGTGGTGTATGCTCATAATCTCAGTGCTGGAAAGGCTCTGGGCCTTACTGGTGAGCTAGCCTAGCTTTACCTGGTAAGTTCTAGGTTGGTAGAGACCCTGCCTAAATAAAAAATTGTGGGGCAGAACCTGAGGAACCTCCAGCCTCCACACTCATGCGCACATATGCGCTCATGTGCCCTCATAATATGTTCACTTGTATACATAGTGAACATGCACATGGGTAGGCATGCACACATGCGTGCACACATGCATGCATGCATGCAGAGCAGAAAGGGGAAGAGAGAAAGACCAGTTTGCAAGGTTACTTTTAGGGCAGAGTTCTAACTGAGCGCAGTGTTTCTTCTTCTGTACTATGTCTTCAAGCTGCAATTACAGGGTAAGAACCTAACACCTTTGACTTCCTGTCATCCCTGCTGTGTGGCCCGACCGCTGCCTTTGCTGCCACCTGCTATTCTGTACCCATTGTCATATCTTACTTCCTGCACATGCCCACATGCACGCTTCCTTCTCTGGAGAGAAAAGAGAAGTCATCACAGGGCAGGAAGCTTAACCTCTGTAGCCCTGTATCCTTTATAAAGCCCTCATCCGCCTCCCCCACCCTTCTTGGAAAATGAGATTTCTCTTCTCTCCATACCCTCTTCCAGCCTCACTTTCTTATCTTTGAGTTATGGTCTTCCTGACATTGTCCTTATTCTAGAAATTTCCTTGGATAATCTCATTTCCCCTCACCGTTTTAAAACTTGCTAACATGTCCCTGCCCACCAGTTCTCTGTGGAAAGTCTAAACTCGTCTTCTGAGTTCTTTCTACTTTCTGGACGTCTTCAGTTGGCGGCTCTTCAGAACCCTCAAATGCAAGTGGGGAGCCTATCTCTCCTTCCCCAAATTCATCCTGCCCTTTGTAATCCAGCCCCGATTAGTGAAATCCACTCAAATGATTAGTTTGGGAGAAGAACCACCCACTTTCCCCCCATACCTGTCAGTTACTGGACTCTTCTGCCGCAGTATCTCTGTCCTGGTCTAGTCAGCGCCTCATTTCTTGCCTGCCTCCCACAGCCTGTCTTCTAGCCAGCCTTCCTCCCAGCACTGCCACAGGTCTGATGATGTTTCTTGTCGGGCTGACGTTTCCCATGCTTAACCTTTCCTTTTGGAATTAAGCGATTAAGCCTGGCTCTGCGGTGATCTGCTCCGTAGCACCCGTCTGCCACAGGCCTTGCAGATTTCTTCACATGCATCCTGGAGCCCACGCTCCTGGACTTCTTGTGGGTCCAGCAGGTTAGTCTTCAGGCCGGCAGCTCTTCGGCTCATGCCTGTCCATCTTGCAGCTCTGCCCAGGATCTAACTTGTGTGACTGGCTGGCACAAAACTTCCTTTCTTTTTACGTGAATAGGGTAGAGTCATCTGTCCCTTATGTTTGTTTTCCAGGCGCCTCCTCTGTTCTGTTATTACCTCTCTGTATTCAGTTTAGAATTAATTTTTTCCCTAAGGCCATTGGATTTCCAGACAGTCAAAGACTGTGTAACCCTGTTGTGAATTTTGATGATTCGGTGCTTATTATTCTAATGGAATGTGAAATCCACCGCTAGATTATTGCAGGTATAAAAAAAAGAGATAAATATTCACATTTGCATAGAATTCAGTGGAATAGATATTTTACATCAGAAGGCCTGTCGCTTGCACTGTCTATGAACAGTCAAATATTGCTGTGAAATACTTTTTCCTGTTTTCAGCAAAATTCAGTTCTTTACTTTGCAATGCTTTATTTTGAGAGATTTATGAAACACACACACAGAGAGCTTTCTACAAGAATTGTAGGTATTCCTTTTAGAAGATAATAGGTAACAGTTAAATATGGCTGTAGTATGGAGAGGGCATTAAAATGAAGACTTTTTAGTAAAAATTCAAGGATAATTAAAAAACTTTAGGTAAACCTATTTTTTTAAAACATTTATTTATTATGTATACAGTGTTTTGTCTGTCTGTATGCTTGCTGGCCAGAAGAGGGCACCAGATCTCATTACAGATGACTGTGAGCCACCATGCGGTTGCTGGGAATTGAACTCAGGACCTCTGGAAGGGCAGTCAGAGGTCTCAACCTCTGAGCCATCTCTCCAGCCCAAACCTATTTCTTGTATATTTTCAATTTTAGTTGAGTGGACCCCAATAGAACATAACTACATAAAAATGCTAAAAATTTCAGGGCATTTTTTTTTTTTTTTGGTGGTGCTAGGGATGGATACCAGGGCCAACACATACCACTGGGATGCAGCCCAGCTCCCATTTTCTTCCTAATGTATAAAATAACATTTCTTAGTAGCTACAACTTATTATCATCCTTTGTGTTTTTTCTAATAATATTTATTTTTACATTTATGATTTTTTAAGAGGCCATTACTAAATATTAGCCCACATCAGGGGTAGAGATAATGATCAATACATTTTTCAATTAAAAAATATTTCATGTGTATATTCTCACAGCTCTATTCTTCTCAGAGGGAACCCTTTACTTTATATCTGACAACATGGTTAGTTATAAAAAGGCACTTTTGAGATTGTACAGGTTTCTAAAACCAAGTAAGGAAAAGTACAGGCCTTGCAACCAATAGGATGCTTGACTGTCTGTGTGTGTCCTGTGGGAACAGGGGATGGGTGAGTTTACCACAAGTGCCACCCAATGGGAAAAGTGACTCCACAGTTCCTTGGGTGAGCACTAAACATTTTTGGAAACAGCCTGAGGTAGAGAATTGATTTTTTCTGGAGAGCAAATAATTTACATGTTCATAGCATATAATTTATGACATATCGACAAAGACAGGTGTACCTTCCCATTAAACTTTATCCAAAAGGCAAAAAAGTGTCTTAAGAACTAACGGAACCCCTTTCATCATGAAATGTAAAATACATTCAGTATAGAGAATAGAAACATATGACTTAGCACAGAGCCCTTGCCTGTGGCGCCCTCCTTAAGCTCCAGGAGGGAGCGATGCCCTCTTCCCCCTTGCTGCTGTCACTGCATGCTTCCCATAGTACTTGCCAGCTCAGTTGAGAAACTAAGGCTTCTGTGAACTGGCATAAGAGGAAGAGCAGAGGAGGCTGGGGGCAGGTGACTGGGGAGATTTGGTCAAACAGGAACGCGGGACACTATCATTCTCTCAAGGCTTGTAAGTCTAGACATCGACCAGAGCTACTGTGGTAATGCCTGCCCCCCACAGCGATTGTTGGTTCCTCCAGAAAGTGCTAACTTCTGAACAATGCTTTTGAAAGTGACTGCAGAGCTACACATCTCTGGTGCACAGTAGTAACTTGTTTCCACACAATTCCAGGACATTAGCTTATTGCCAGTGGGTGGACAATCTCAATGAGACCCGGAAGATGCTGTCTCTTAGTGGTGGTGGTCCCTTCAGTAACCTGCTCAGGTGGGTCGTGTGCCACATAACAAAAGGAATTGTGAAACGGGAGATGCACGGCCACGGCATTGGCCGCTTCTCGGAGGAAGAGATTTACATGCTGATGGAGAAGGACATGCGGTCTTTAGCGGGGCTTTTGGGTAATGTACCACACCTTCTATATTTCTGTGCTTACTGTTGCATGATGAGTAGAGTGCTGCTGCTTTATGAGCTTAACTTGGTTGGGGTTTTTGCTCCTTCACGTAGGTTGCACTTGCACCATTTAACCAAGTCCCCTAATTTCCTGGAGCCATCTCTGATATTCAATATTAGCGTAGTTACTGTACTGAGGTTCCATGTGAGAATATGTGGAGCCTGCTTCAGCATCAGGACCTGGCTGCAGAGGATGCTGTCATTTCCCAGGATAGGGCGATTCTGAGCAGGGAACCTCTTCTATTTATATACGGGTCAGGCTGGTTGCGAGCACATACACCAGTAAAGTTAGACAGATGAGGTGATGGCCGGGCTTCTGACCTTTGTGTGTGTGTGTGTGATTGTGTTGACAGTTGTCATCGTTTTAGACCTGTCATGTTGGTGTGAATCCTTAGCTTTCTTCTTCCTAGTGTGTTTTATTCCAGATGTTGCATTTGTTGCACACCATGGGCTAAAGTGTGTTTGGGGAGCTCCTTAGAGAGGCACAGGGCCTTCAATTCCCATGGACCAGTGAGGATAGACATATTCCACTCACCAGCTGGCTACAGAGAGCCCTGGGCTGCTGTAGTTCTGCATTTGGTCAGCTTGTTTCTTTGCTCTGACAGTTCACAAAGAGACTGTTCAAATCAAGGGCCTAGATGTGAACCAATGTCCTCTAATATGGGGCAGTTACAGGTACCGAGTCCTCGACGGGACTTCTAATTTTATTTTCAGAAGTTGGTTTTGTTTCCGAGCCCTCCCATAAAGGCAGTGATTTCCAGATCTGTCACCATCCTCATCTTAGAGCGTGTTAGATTCCTTGCCTCCATGAGGAAGTGGGGTATGGGACTTGTTTTGATATAACCTACCTGGTGCCTTGGAAGTGGAGGCTCTGTGGGCATCACCTCTCTGGCATGTTCATCTGTGTTGACCACTCTTTATTTTTGCACATGCCAGATATTTGCTGGACCCAGAATCCTCCTTTGAACTTCATTTGGTGCCTTGCTGTGGGAATTGAGATCATACCCTCAGATGACCAGCCCTGAGTTGGGTCCTTCTTCCCTAACAGTGGCAGTTGCTGTTTCTGACTCACTCCTCCTCCTCTCTAGTGAATGCTTCTGGAAGCCTCAGCAAATAAGGAGTTGAGTCCCAGAGTTATTGTGGCAATGATTATGGCAATAAAAGCCTTTTAACAATTGCACAGCATTAATTTCTCCATCAGAACATTGGTAAATATCACTTCACTAGAGTGTTTCTCGTTGAGAGAAGTTTAGGGGGCAGGGTGAAGGCACTAATGTAAACAGACACTTTCTCCAAGCACTCAATGACTAGACCAATGCTTTGTTCCCAATCGGGATGACAGGACGCCAGTGCATCACTGGTGGGTAGCCTGGAGACCTTGTAAGCGTGGTATTTTGCCCTCAGTCAGCTCATTTGTTACAGTTTCAGACACCAGTGGTTGACTGTGAACTGAATGGGAAGTACCATTTAATATTTGTAAATTTGAAGTTGGTTGTTGTTCTGCGTACCATGATACATTATTTTTCGTTTCTTCTATCTTTTCCATTATTAAGTATTCTGAACCATTATATGCCTAGTATCACTTGGGCTGGGAAAACTTACCAGACAGACTCTATTTTGCTTACTGCTTGTCTTATACTTTGGTTCTGTTAGTTCTGAGTCTACAGATACTTCAAAAAACAAACAGAAAATAAGACAGTCTGAGAAGAAGATTTGTACAGCTATGTCTATTAGTAACAAAGAGCTCCCCAGCTGTGGACATTAGGTATGCAATCAAAGTAAGAAAAGACCATGGAATCCAGGACAGAGTCAAATAAGACCACCCATTTGATAAATGAGGAAATCTGAAGCCTACAGAAATTGAATGACTTTCCAAAAGTCACACAATCAGGTAGATGCGAGCCGGGGTTCAAATCTGGAATGTCAAGCTTAAGACATTATTTTCGAACTGCTGAATCTTTGCATGGCTTGGGTTTGAGAACCTGACTGAGGTGATGAGGGAATAAAGCAAGGTTAGACACATATGGGAGAGCTCTGACTGGCTGGTGTGGACTCTCTGATGGAGATGCTGCAGCATCCCAAAGCTCAGTGTGTTTATTATATACAGTTGAATAAGGAGTCAGGGTTATGGCAAATAGTGGAGTCAGGGACACAGGTTTAGGTAATCATGGTGGGTGCAACTCAGTGGCGAAGCAGCCTCAGGCTATAAATCTGGGCTGAGGAGTCAAAGCTATGGTAAACATTTTCTACACATGCTATCAACATCCATACATGAACTGGGAGGGAAGGCCTTGCCATTGTCATGGGCCTGAGGCCCTGGGGTCCTTGACATGGCCCCCATGACAACACATGTTCCCTTAGGACTCCATTGACTCCCTACTACCCAGCTACACCCCCAAATTTCATCATTAATTATGCTTTAAGGTGAGTTTTTATTATCTCAGGATGGTAGATCTAGAACATTTCCGGAGGTAGTCAGAGCCTGGACTATGGAATTAAGAAATGGTCTCTAAAGTAATGTTTGAGAATGTTTTATTTGCCCGCTCCTAGAAGTGGACTATGGGATGATTTCCCGTTGTCTGGGAATGTAGCTCTGTTGCAGAGCACTTGTCCAGTGGAAGACCCTGGGCTGCACCGCCAGGACTGCAAACAAAACAAAACAATCATGGATATGTCTGTAAATTGAGGTTGTACCCTTTCTCAAGAGGCATGCTTTTAAGAGCCTGCTCCAGTCGGTAGGAGCCAGATGAAAAATGGGACTTACAAATGGAGGTGATGAAAACCTGACTTCCAGAAAGCAGCAGCTGCTTAATAAAAGATTGATTATGCATTTTCTAGTGAAGTATTTGAGTACGAAAATAGCTCAGGGTCTCTTTGGTTTTCAGTCCTTGTTGACATCAGGTTGGCACATTTGTAAGAACTACATGCGTTGGCTATTTTAATAACTATCTGTGCTCTTGATGATTTAACGAAGGGTAAATGATGCAAAGGAGGGAGTTCTGCCAGAGGCGGCCTTCCTTCCTAAGCTGCCCCCTTCCCAAGCATGTGTCATTACAAGGTGGTGCAGTTTTACAAAATGGTTATGTGGTGGTGCTGGCTAAAAGAAGTCATTTCATTCTGTTTTTCAAGTAAACATATTTGGCTCATCGCTAAGTTCTGGGTTAAATTATATATAGAAAATTAAACTATTCTCCAAGAATTGCAGAGAAAAGCTGTAATGAGAAACAGAAAATCTCTAGCCCTCTTGGGTAACCATCTTACCTTTTGTTTCTCAGACCTTCCAAGTCACAAAACAAGATTGTATTATGTTGCTTTTGAAAAAAACAGATTTCGTAGTATTGATCACAGCTAAGTGTTCCAAAATATGGAGGTAGTGACCGTGTGTGTGTGTGTGTGTGTGTGTATGTGTGTGTATGTGTGTGGTGTATGCATGACAGAAGTAAAGGGGTGGGTTGAAATGGGCTTTGGTTTCTTCTCTAGAATTTCTACTGACTTCTAAGGCTCATGATGGAGTAATAATAATAGGCTCCTGGCTGTGGGAATTGAATTTGGAGACCATCCATCTGAGCACTGTGTATCTCTGATCATGATGAAGCAGTATAGACTATTCAATTATATCTTTGCTTTGGGACAGCACTGACTGTTCTTCCAGAGGACCCAGGTTCAATTCCCAGCACCCACGTGGCAGCTCACAACTGTCTGAAGATCCAGTTGCAGGGGATCTGACACCTTCACACCAATGCATATAAAATAAAGTTAAATAGACCATAAAAATATTTTTTTAAAAAAAGAATAGTCTGCTGTGCCTGCCATGAAGGTAGAAGTTTTGGTGGAGTTTGGGTGTAGAAAAGGAATTTTTGTACTGGGACAGAGATTGAACTGGCTCATTCGGAAAGCAGTTACTTGCACTGATTATTAATGATAAATATAAAACAATTCCTTCTATAGGGTGACACCTCCTAATTTTAAAGTGTTTTTGCATTATGTTTTAATCTCTATCATAGCTCTCTTTTCTAAGGAAAAAAAGAGCTAAAACTAATTAAGTGTAGAATCACTATAATTGATGGTTTTTATTATGATGGTTACCAAATAGACAAAAAAGTAAGAGAGGTTTCATAAATCTCAAATGACTTAAAAACTCTTTGAACATATAGGGCATCCATGTAAATAAGACTACAAGATGGCCCATGTCATTTACTTCATGCATAACTGGACTAGTGATTTTCAAAATGTAGTTCTTAGAACGGAAGTTATTTGCATTAACTTGGAACCTTGTTACAAATAGTAGGTAATATAAGTACTGCATGCTAACTGATTGTGAGAAAAAGTGATTCTGAGTGAGGTAGCCCAGACTGAGAAAGACAAACATGATATGTATTCATTCATAAGTGGATATTAGCTGTTAAATAAAGGATAACCATGCTACAATTCACAGACCTGCGAATCTAGGTAACAAGGAGGATTCAAGGGGGATGCCCCACATCTTCCTGGGAAGAGGACATATAAGAGATTTTTTGAGTGAGAACATGAGTGATCACTTTGTAGGGGAAGGAGGTAGAGTACCTAAAGAGACTATTGGAAAGGGGGACATTCAGAGTCAGGTAAAAATCTGGCACAAGAGAATTTCCCAGGAATCTACAAGGATGACCCCAGTTAAGACTCCTAGCAATAGCGGATACTGGTTTTCTCCTGTGACCAGACAAGACTTCAACTGGAGGGAGTAGGAAACAAGCCCAGTCACATAATCTTCGACATACCCTTTGTCGTGCCTATGGGATGTACTGGGGTAAGGGTGGCCTAGAAATTGAGGGAGTGGCCAACCAATGACCAGTCTAGTTTAAAATCCATGCCAGGAGAGCAAGTCACTCCTGAAACAGCCAGGAGCTCCAGAGCCCACAGGCTGGATGACCCAGAGACCTAGGATAAAACCAATGGGGAAAATGTCAAC